GGCTCCGGAGCTCCCGGGCCGGCGCCCCGCAGACGGGCCCTTCCTGGCGGCCGCGGTGCCTCAGCGAGGACCCCCACCCCCGCCCCTTGGAAGGCGCCCCGGGGCCTCCATCAGGCTGGGGGTGCCGCGGCAGAGTCGGCTTAGGCAGGGCCAGGGCCGTGAGGGGTCCGCGGGCGGCACCACCCGCCCCAGCACCGCCCCAGCCTCTGCAGAGCTGCCCAAGGCCCCGGCCTCAGCCCCCGGTCTGGCCCGATGGTCACCTGGGCTTGCCCCACTGGCCAGGAGGGACGCTGCACCCCTCCCCTCCTCAAGCCGGGTCTGGGTGTGAGGCTGGCCCAGGCTGTGGGGGCGGGGAGGAGTCTGGGGGGTGGCGGGAGGGGGAGGGGGCGGTTGGGGTGCGGAGCGGAGCCAGCTGGCCAGTGGGCAGTGGCCTGGGCCTCTCGCCGGCCTGGAGGGCCACGTGTGGGCCCGCGGGGCGAGGTGGCCGTGCTCCAGAAAGGGGCTCTCCGGGGACTGTCGCGCCTCTCCTGGGGGGCTGCTCTGGCCGGCTGGGCCGTCACGGCGTTCGGGTTCCAGACCGAACGGGGAAGTGAAACAGGGCCGTGGTCAGCCCATGACCGACCACCGTGAATCTTGGCTACCAGCTTGCCGTGTGGCCCGAGGGAGCCACCGCCCTCCCCACCCTCAGCCTCGAGAGGGGAATCTGGGGGGCGGGGGGCGGGGGGCTGCCGTGCACTCGCCCTCCTGGCTGGGGCGGTCTGCAGCTGGCGGCCGTTTCTCGTCTCTCCACGAGTGGCCGCCCCTGGGGGAGCCCGGGAGAGCCCGCGGGCCGGGGCCCCTCTGCGAAACGTGGCGCCCGTTTATTTTCCACCAAGTGGAAATGGTCGCTGCCTGTGACTGAGGGGTACGTGACCCCCAAACGTGTGTGAGCCGCCGTCAGCGCCTCCTCCAAGCCTCTGGCCCTCCGCGGGCCGGTCAAGCCCCAGGCGCAGGGGCTCTGGGGGCCCAGACTCGCTGAGCCCCAGGCAGAGGGCCGCGCTGGTGGGTCCCTGGGCAGCCCCCACCTGGTCTCCTGCCCGCGTCCCGGGTGCCGGCTCGACCACCCTGGGAGGGGCCTCCAGGGAGCCTGGGGGCGGCGGCACAAGCACCCCCAAGAGTTAGGGGAGTGGAGAGTGGGGACCGCGCCCTGGGGTCCTCTCCAGGTCAGGCCTCCAGAGCATGGGGGCGAGCTGGGCACGTGGGCATGGGCATGAGGCTGATGGGGCCTGCGCCAGCATTCCCCAGCCTGAGGGCAGGAGGGGACGGCCAGCAGGCAGCCTGGGGCCGCTCCCAGGGCGGAGGCCGGTGGGGGTGGGGGAGGGGGAGGGCCTGCGCTCTCCAGACTATTGTTCTCTGTCTGGGGTGTTTGTCTCCTGGGCCGGAGGTCCCGACCCTCAAATTCCCAGGCTGGTTGGGGCGGGGACCACGGGAGAGCGGTCTGGAGGGAGGAGGAGCAGCGCGGGGCTGACGTCCAGGCGTGGGGCCAGCCCAGGCCGGGCA